GCGGAAGTTAATTCATCGACGTTGTAGGCTGCGCTATGTTTGTCGTTAGTGCGCTCATCATTTTGGTGGCCCTATGTTGGGACGGTATATCCCCAAAATTCATATTTGTAATTTTATCATATTGATTAACTCATAGATTAAATATTTAAATATTTGAATGGAAGTCAAATGATAAACTTATCGATTAAATATTTGAATGCCTGTCGATTGATGAACTTAATGAGTCATGTTTAAAAAAACACATTTTACTATGGCAATATCGATTATATATATTAATATATATACGTTTTAAATTGTATTTGAGTGCTCGCTTGCTTGCTCGCTCGTTTTCTGGCTGTTTGCAGAATATATTTTCCATACCAAGCCTGGACTTCTCCTTCTAGATAGCGGGGTTGGGACGCGTCAATAGTTAGATCACCGGCCTTCGGTCACTGAGTATTGTTTTCGTTCGCAGTTTAAGTGAACTCGTGAGGCTCCAAACCTAACACCCTATATCTGACTCTATTTGGAACGTTTCTCATTGCTTCTGAGATATACATGTCGCCAATCCTGTCATATAATTATGGACTTGATTTGCGTTAGTGAATAACGGAATTAAATAAGTCAAATACGAGAATGGATTCCGAATACGTTTGCCTCATGGAATCATCGATCCAGATAAACGACCGAATGAACGAAGTGAAATGACGGACATTGAAGATGACATGTAAGTCAACACGATTTAACAAAGTGTTGATCGATAGTTATAGTCAGATATATGATGGGTAGGGTGAACAAAACACAAGCACACACGATCGTACAAGGACAACTAGGATGATTAAGCGAATATTTAACAAGGCCAAAATGTGACTCAAGAACGGTGAATAAACTGGCTTTTCTGGAAGCTGAAATAAGCCTTTGCACAGAAATTCCACAGAAAGCAGATTTCTGAAGGATAATGGTGCGGATGATGAACATTGAGAAGAAAGAGGAGAAAATAATAAGTGGCGCTGACAAACTGTCTATTGAAACGGTTTGCTAAAATGATGGTGAGATGAGCTTCCGTGTTGATCATCTGTGGTTGTTGAGAGGGGCTATCATCTTTGAGCTATTGTCGCCTTTGTTGTGCAGACAAAATCGATCGGGTTCGGTTACAGATGTTACACTTTGAAAATGCACAGATCAGACTTCAATCCAGAAGTTGAAAATTTCACTAATGTGAACATATTTATTTTCCGATTTTACACGATAGTAAGAGACAAAAATTTTTTATGTGTCTAAAGAATATATCAAAACATTTATCAACTGAAGATGCCCCGCACAAAACTTCTACTGCAGTATTACCAAAACCCATTGATGGAAATACTAGTCAGCTAACAGTGAGAATTTATTTGACAATCAGTGTTTGCCGTTTGACCCATTTGAAAAACATATAACGTGTGAAAACTAGAGAGTGGTTGCTTCATTAACACGATGTTCACTAGATTATATTTATTGCGAATTCTACCAAAGAAAAAATTTGACATAACGAAGATGTCAAAGCAGAATTTCTGAGTAATAATTAGTTCAATTGAGGGAACCCTGCTCGATTGCAATAACGCAATTTCAGAAAATGATTTTGCATGTGTATTGTCGTTTAGATATTACCGCTCTATTACATTGTCAAAAACGTATGAAATCAATACTTTGGAAGTAAAATATTCTTCTCAGTTGGTTGGATTGAAACGTTCATCATGCCACGTCCATTGAAGTGGTTGGATACATGCATAACTTCTGATTCATCAGCCTCCAAATGCCCTGATACGGCCTAGGGTGAGAAGAGTTCGCTCTCCCTCACATGGTCACGCCTATACAGCCACTTTCATTTGTTGCTCACTGTTTGATAATGAAACCATTTGACTGTTGTTGTTGCTTAATGAAATGATTCAAAATCAAAATGTCTGTATCTGTGCTCAATATTCGCTGCATTAATTTAAAGATTTGATACGCACAGCCGCTGATTTAGCATGATGTATTTTTAGTTACTTTGTGGCCGTTATCCATTCAATGTTGGCAAAGGAGTAGTTTTCTGAAGATGTTCTAACCATTTTACTTCAGATGGAAACGAATCACTGTAATGTTCGGTATTAAAATACCGTGATGTCATATTTGTCATTAGAGAAACTTTTAAGTTTAAATTGACATCAACTAAACTTGTTGTAGATCGGTATTATCGCTATTCTCACTACACGTACTTCATCTTATAAACATTTTAAAATAGAATGCAACACCTGTAACAGTAATAAGCCACAATATGTTACGTACAACTGATATTATGGTGTGTTTTCGTAAGATTGTTCTATGTTACAACATTGAATCATTTGTAGTTGTCGTGATTTCTGTCTACTTCTTTCACTCTTTCATATATACTTTGATTTGTTCGTGTATGTTATTTCTATTTATCAACATTTCTTCAGGGAATGCTATGTTAAAAAACTTCAAACGTCATTTGTAAGTTCTCCTGTTTTTTTTGTTACGTCACTTAAGATCACTAACACATAGTTACAATACGTGATGTTAAATGATAGGATCGATGCTCTGAAGAAAAAGACAATTATTTCACGCTAAAATAAGACAAAGCTGACGCATAATAACAGACCACAAGGACTATCACGAAAAAGATCGAGCACAATAGGTCGATCGTTCTCTGAGAGACACTTAGCTTCCTCGATATGCTGGCCTCTTCAAACGTATAGCAAAAGGGATCTGAAATGTAAATCCCTTTTGTAGATTTGAAATAAATAAATTGGAAGATGATCCATTCGTCTGTCGGTGACAACTGCATCGGTTGACGTATCTTCCTGAAACAGTCAATCAGTTCACATCTACATTCAAACTATAGGTGCACAATTCTTCATAAATATAAGGAAGAAATTAGCGTCATGTTTTCTTGGAGTGACAAAAGATGAAATGGTAAAAAACTTAGATTTACCAGCTGATTGCCGGCGAAATCGACACACAAACGTTAAGAGAAATTTTGTTTTTATGAATTCGGTGGTAGTTATAAAACAATGTGATCCAGACAAATCTTTGTCAGCACAGTTTTCTCAACTGAAATGCACATCTCAAATACATTTTTCAACGTTAAACGGTAGATAAGTTCACGTCATCTAGTTTTACACCTTTGTATAAATTTAAGTTCACACTTATTGATTTGAATTTATAAAGACTGGAAGCCTGAGCAGGTCGCTACAATCAATGAACATCCGTTATGAATCCGGTCTACAGCCTGGATAAAATAGAAGGATTTAACATGTGGTCACAAACAAATTGTGTTTAAAAATATCATTTGAAGCATAATTTTTCAGTCCTGTGAGTTATACAAGATCTTCATTTAGAAGAATCATGACGTCTCATTGTGAAAGTAGAGATTCTTTGGAAGTCACGAGGATTAAGTCCTCGATTGTGTAGAAATGAGAAGGTACAACATGTCAGTTTTTGAAATAAGTAAAACCCATTGGATACAAGCTGTGCAGTAGAAGATTGGAATCGGGAGATAAACTGTTGTACTGTAGTTATGCGTGAAAAGTAAACAATAAGTTCAGCTCTTTTATTATTGACACTTGTGTGTAATATATGTTTACATTAATCGATATCCATTATCTGTTACTTTGATAAAAGTGAACATGTCAATCTGACTACTGAACAAGAACTCCGTCCATACTCAATACCGTTCAGTTGATATTGACTAAAGTGTTTCTCAACCTTGAAACGTTTGCGAATGCTGATCATATGAAAAACACTCGGTTGCGTGACATTAACGCAGAATAGCCTTATGAAAAACGAACAATAAATAAGCTACATAATACTGAATAAATTTTATTAACCTTGAAATATTTACTTATCATGTTCATATGGAGAGGATTATGTTTAAACTTACGTCAATGTATAATTGTCTTATGAGAAGTTGGCAGTGATTTTATGGGATTAGCTCACTATTGAAATAAATATTGCTTCCGTGGATACGATTAAGTGAACAAACACTCATGTGAACTTTTATCAAACCCTAGTGAATAAGCTACATAATTACCTAAACATACTGCTACTACATGTAATGACAATGAATAATAATAATAATTTGATAATAGGCCAGACATTATTGTATAACTGAAAACAATTCTGATGTTCATGATTTCGCAAAATTACCCAACATCGTTTATTCGACCACAGAATGTGATACTCGTGGAAGCAATATTTTGCTTACTGATAATATCTTTTTGCCGCGCAAAGTTCATCATCACACTGCCAAGAATTACATTTGGCAATTATAATCAAATCATGAATAGTTTGGGTTTCTTCCGCTGAAATTATTATTCATTTACGAAAGTGTAAACTCTTAATCATCCAACAGTAATTGACTCATTACGTTAAGTGCGAACACATTCAGGTCCACTTCTACCTGACTAATAAGAAACGTTTTGTCTATTTTGATTGCTAAATCTATTTAGAGTCAACGGTATAATGTGTTGGTCAAATGGGCTTTTTTGTGACATTCAACGATGATAGAGTCGTCTGACACGATTTATTTCATTAAACATAAATTCAGATGTAAAAATGCAAATTTAGATATCCAATCAAGACAGCTTTTGTCACTTGTATATTAACCTATCAAATCAAAGCAATGCACCATTGGTAAACCGTTCATAAAATGTTTGCTCATGAAAATATGAACAGACATTTTGACCTACATTAAAAACCCCTCTTTTAATTTAAACTTGCTAATCATATCCAATATAATTTTCATCATTAGAAGCCTTTTAATTTCAACCAACGGTGGATAAGTGTCAGCCTTTGGAGAACAACAACTAGAAGTATATTACACTACGATGAGCGGTCAACAGTGATCATATGATTTTATGAAATGTGATGTTTCTAATGGTTACTTTGGATCGTCGAATAAGAAAGAAACAAACAAAGACTTAAAAAAATTTATATAAGCACAACAAGGTCTAACAACAATTATTAACATTGTGAACAAGAAAATGAGGTGAGTGCTGACTGTACAGTTAAATCAACTGAGTGTGTTATATGAATTTCAATTTGTTTCAATGAAATAACGCTGTCTATTTTTATCTGAACCATTCCAGGCAGAGCTTTGCAACTGGCCAGTTTATACTGCTGTATTTGATCATCATATTAATTTATGAATTCTTCGACTGCCATGACATTTGCACAAAACCTGATCTGGGGGGTTATAAAAAACTGGTTTTTGAGAATGGTTCTTATGAAAATGTAAGTAATCAGTCAAGTTATAATAAACATATTTAGTATCATCACTATAATTATTCTCAGACAATCCGCTTTAGTCAGCCTGTTCCAGTTGTTAAAGGCAGCTTTAAAGAATGGCGTAATAAAAAAGTGAGTTGACTAAATTTTGCAATCGAGGTACTAATCCATATGTTTGTTTATAATCAGGAAATTGCTGCACGATTCCCGTTTACGTTTTACGGTTCTGAAGTCAAAAAATTCGAAATAAGCACTACTGGTAAGAGAATCAATTTCATCGAACTAAAATTGTTACTGAGTTTTGTTTATTCACATTTCATTCCGTGGAACAATGTTGCTATAATTTCTTCAGTAAATCCGTTTTATGCTGATTCTGACATTCAAAACGACCAGTGATATCTTATTTCGTTCAAGAAGTAAACAGTTTAAAGCCCTACCGTAGTTTAATTACTGTCCATGAAGCTTATTTTGTCTCCAATTAATATAAAATTCTTTAATTCATTCTCTACAGATTATCAATTAAATTTCATGTTTTCATTCGACAAACACAGGTAGAATTGAATTGTACGATCAAGCGTCCTTAGGAGTAATTGAGAGTTTTGTGGCAAGTAATTTTTATGAGTATACAGAAGTTTTGGATCAGAGTGAGTACCTCTATTATACGATTATAATTTGTTTTACTTCTCATTTCTCACTTTTATTTTGCATAAATGATTCAATTTTGGTCTCGTTATATTTTGGGAGCTGGCCAGTACACAGTGATTAATTGGCTTGTGTGATTTGATGCCGTGAAATGTGTTCACAACACGTTTTCCTTACAGTGAAGTGAAAAAAGTTATTCACTTCAAAGTAAACGCAAACTAATTGAGTAGAAATGATAAATCAAACGAATTCAACTGAACACATGTACAACAATTAACGAAGTTGTGTGAGAAATCATTTTGGATTGTTAAATCACATGGAGTAATAAATTATATTTGATGACGTCCAAATTATTTTCTTTAACTTCAGAAAGAATTAATGTCTCTTAGTCACTATTTGTGAATCACTGTGTATTCATCCTATTTTTGACTATCATATTCGTATGGATCTGAAACAGCCATTAATAATAATGATGACAGATGATAAAAAATTACCAAGAACAGTGAACTGGTATAACATGATTGATTCGACTCGGAACAACTACAACATCGAAATGAAGTTCATTCATTTTGTTCAGTTATTGCATTAAGTGACATTAAAATGGAATTTCCGAGTAATAATTAGTTCAGTTGAGGGAACACTACTCGATTGGAATAACGCAATCTCAGAAAACGATTTTGCATGCGTATTGTCGTTTAGATATTACCAGTCTGGTTGGATTGAAACGTTCATCATGTTGTTGAAATAATTATGAGTCCCCTCTCAACTCTCATTTAATTGAACCGGTTTACGTAAATCTTGAAAAGAAGATGATAACTCGTGTCCAATCTCATTCTCTGTGGATATTCATGATACACATATATAAAAACAGAAATATTTTTACTTTCATCATTTCAGAGGAATTATTAGCCGTCAGAAGGTCTTATTATCAAGATCCTAATGGTAAAAGTATGTATCCATAAAAAGATTAATTGATTACACATGAAATATTCAAACATCTACACCATCATTCGCATTACTTGTTTACACAATTTCTGTTCATTTTACATCACTGAATTCTTTTGAAAAACTAACAAAAGTAATAAAGTGTAACCATCTCAGAAAATTAGGAAGGCGGGAATTATATGTGGAATCCGTCGATTGTTTGAACACATTGATTGAGACCTGAAGGACAGTTGACATAATCAGGAGCATACTAGATCCCATGTGTAATAAATAGATCCGCATGAATAAATTAGTTCATAAACGTATTTTACTTGTTGATAAATGAATTCAGAGATACATTTTTGTCAACAGGCTTCAATGCTGCTTGATCAGAAGTCTGTATTCTGAAATAAGTATATTTGTGTTACTCATCACACGGTCATTCATAAAAATTATCTATTCAAATTAGAAAATCACCAAGACGAATAATGTGAAGCTATTCATGTTCCATCGTTACTGAACACTGATGAACCAATGCGTTGCATAACCAACTAAGTTACCATGTTCTATTTGTAAACAAACAAACCATAGCTAATGTCATGTTTACTAAGGGTCGATTTTTTCAGGGGTAACTATAGACAGTGTTGAGCAAATGTCAATACCTCCTCAACTATCAAATTCAATTGGAAGCCCGATGATTTAATATTTCGATATGAAAACGGGGTTGTAATACAGCTTCAGAACGTAGTTATCTGACATTTATATTGAAGAATGCATGCTTGCTTCATTTACACGACGTTCACCAGATTATATTTATTACGAATTCGACCAAAGAAAACATTTGAGATAACGAAGATAATACCTGCCTAAAACTGATCACGTTGCACGTAGGCACATACACTTTCGCATCCAACAATGACATGTTAATCACTAATACCTTAAATTCCAAATAATGACAGTCTTCTGTTTGCAGTTACTGAAGCCATTATAACTACTCTGATACATCCTAATGGGAAGATATCAATATATTATGGGCAAGTAAGTTGCACAATCGAATAGTAATGTAATGTTGTTTCATGTATTTCGGATCATTATCTTACTTTGCGCAAGTCAACACTGTCGAAGGCATCAAAATACATTGAACACGATAGAAGGACATCAACATTTTTTAAGGTGCACACAGACTATGCAACTCTACTCATAACTCCTTAATGACACACTTTATTCTAGTACTTTTTAAATCAATGAATTATAGGAAGTCAAATGTTATCGATAGAAATTCTGACGTCTTTGAGCCGATTAAGAACAAACAAAGTATTTGATAGTACTTTCCAACACAGTCACTTTCTGTCAAGCTTTACTACGTCTTCTGAAGTTCAGCTAATTGAGAATTTGATTGTCAGATAATCTGTGAGATAAATTGTTAAAACCTTGATCGTCTCTCAGTGTGTACTTGTTCAAATGTCAGCATTTAGTACTTCACCAATTTGAAATACAACAAATTTGTGGTAACTAGAAAGGGCAGGTGAGATGAAAGAATTGATTTGTGTTGAAATGATTCCATTTTGATTGCTTCGAAGTAATCAGGAATTGTATGTACGGTGATGGATGGAAGTGAGTACATTAACACAATTTCTCCACATGACAACAAATTCACGTGCAGCAGCATTGCAGTTATTCACAATTACATTTCCGTCATGTGACGTAGATATTCTTCCCACAGTGTAGCGCATCATTGCATGATGAATAGATCGTTCATTGGATTTCACTGAAGTTGACAACTGAAGTGCGTCAGATTATCCTTGTAAACTAGATGAGGTACATTTCTGAGGAAACTGAGCAGTTCAGTGTGCTTACCGTGTAACTGGTTGTTATTGTGTAAAGTGATGTGAATGACGACACATTCGTTCGGTGATTGGTTGGCTTCGATAAAAGTGGTTGTGTGTTAACAGATGTTTACTCAGACTTCCGTTACTTCTTTTCAGATTCCTGATTGGATTGGCGAACACCGAAAAGCATCAACAATTTCTGGATTGATTCGATGCACAAACGAAGGTAGCAAATGTTATTTACATTCTGATTTACACCAACCCACACAAGCAGTCATGTGTTAGCGTAATATTAACTTCTTTATGTAGCCTTTGATCAACACGTGAATACAGAAATTTGCCGTTTTCTGTCATAATGATCTAATATATCTTTCTTACAGTTTACATTATTCAGTAGTTTCGTGTGAGAACAGATTAGTCGAAGTGTCATTGAAAGGTTTATGAAAAACGTGTGAGATAAAATCTGAATGCTTGTGGTAAACTCATTGTCCAAACACTACTGTTTATTGAAAATTTAACGTGGATTATGTGTTTACATATCTTGAAGCGAAGTTTTAGTATCATTTGTGATAATAAATCAAGGTTCAAGTTAGTCCATAAAAAACCGCATCCTTTGATCAAGTCTTTTTTTTTTACAGTGAACTACTGAATTCTTCTGAATTTAAATTAAGTATCTGTGTCTACATCTGTACAACCGTCATCATTGTTAGTGTCACATAAACAATTTAAGTTGTTTTGATAAAATCTTATTGGTGTTGTTTCTGTTTTATATGACGAATTCCGTAGACAGTGATTTTCAAGATCCACGTCTACTGACGCATGCTTAACTTGGTATAATGAGTAATATAATTATGGTATGTGAATAACTTCATCATAGATATTCAGAGAAGTCGTTCTCATTTTTTAATAGTCACTTGTTTAACAGTTGTTTTCCTCTGTAAAATTTATTTCAAAAGGTGTGAAAAGAACTCAAATAGATGTTCCTAAAAAATGGATCCATAGTGGAACGTTAGTGGAGTATGAACCTTTCGCGGGTATGTTAAACCTTATTGTATCAGAAATGACTATTTTCACAGTTGAATGCATCAATTTTGTTTCAAAAAATTGAAACTTTCATGTGTAATTTTAGCAAATATTTAAATGAAATTTAGCTACTAGTATCAAATGACGTTGTTCTATACATGGATTCTCTGTTGATTATTTAAAATGATGAAGGACAGATGGCCTTCACTCGCTCACATGGATAAAATTCACTTAAGCGTCCGTAATGTTACAAAACGATAGATGAGATAATATATGTCAGTTAGTTTATTGTGCATTGACTTGGAAGTGTCCATAGTTTTTCAACTCGGTACATGTGATATTGAACTTTCCTGAGTTGTTTAAATCACGGAAACATTTCTTGAAATTGTAATTGACTCGGAGACAATCGCTTACTTTCCAAAATATATACCTCATCTTGTTCATCCGATAAATTGTACGTGTAGGCACGTCAGGTGTTCAGATTTCAATTAACCAGTAGATACTTGTACAGTATCAAAAATACTGAAGATTTTCATGTGTTCTTTTTCTCATCGATATGTATAGTGAGTAATCACATACACTCCTCAGTTCGTATTGTGTTGCAGTATTGAAATTATATCACTATGACTGAGAAAATCATTCAATAATCTTATGTTCAGATCGACTTCAATATTCGTTGAATAAAATATAATTCACTATCGATGAATGTTCATGATCCAACTAGTGTGACGTGCTAGCCAACAACACACATAGTAAACTTCAGAAAAACGTCAGCGACGAGTTGAAAAACAATGTCACTCCTCCATTGTTTTTCGATCGAATTAACATAATTATAAGTGAATTTATTGTCTGGGGACATCTGACATTCTTGCACGGATTTCAAAATAGTCAGTGTGAGTGAGTTTACAATGTTGTTTATCATTTTTCACATGTTGAAGCGGTATACAAGACATGTTTTCATCATTAGACTGATAGCAATGAGTGAAGCTCAAAATCTATTAGAAATCAAATTCAATGGGCTTTGCTAAACCAGGTGACAGCATAGTGTATACATTTCTGAATGAGAACAGTCATCAAAATTTACCAAATCCGCACGTCAATGCTCATCGTTGAAAATTCAACTTAGTTTCATTCAGTTCCAAGGTGTTGTCGTGAAATGTGAATGACATAGTATGAACGAGTTCTTGTTTTCATTAAAATGTACATTGAGTAATTACAAACAATTTTCAGTTTATCATGTGGTAGGACATTAAAATACCATCTCGACAAATGAGAGAATCATTCCATTATGTAATGTAGATCGACTTTAATATTCGTTGAATAAAATGTTACTCATTATGGATGTATTTTCATTCAAAGCATTCAGCAGTGCTATCGCAAGACATCTCCTTGATACAGGACATGAAGTTGATATACTGAAGTCCTTCAAGGTGATCAACAAACAATCAAACTCTAGCCTTTTGAAATTCGCTGAAGCGATAGCAATCAAACGTTTAAAACCAGATCTATGCATACAAAAAGAGACAGTAATAAATCTTTCTTTACCCTGGTAACAATAATCCCCACCCTTTCTATTCATTTACTCCTATTTATTTATTTATTACGTCATTCCCCATCTTCCAACTCTTTCTGAAGTTTAAATTACATCATACATAAATGATTGATTTTAATGCATATTTTCTTTATTACTATTAATCTATTTTCATGAGTTCTAATCACTATTTCAATGTTCCAGAACTTTCCCTCTCTAACTTTATTGATTTATTCGAATCAAACATTTTTATGAGCTCATTAACTCTATCTGAATATTTTCTACATCATCATACACATGTATTGATCCTTATTCACACTCTTATGTATAAATATGTCAATATCTGTAATAATGTTGAATTTCAAATAATTTAGGATGTAAGCAGCTGATGAGAACCTAACGAAATAAAATGAATTCATATTATTCTGCACGAATCTTTGTTCTTGCATTATTTAAGATAATAAAGGGAACTATGTGTATCAAAGCCAAAATGTTGTCGTGAAATGTGGATGTCAATGAAAGTGTGCTGAATTTGCATTGCGCGAGGTGATAACAAATTCCTAGTGAATGAAATAGTTGCCATATTTCAAAATCATCATTATATCATCGAGTTATAGTTATATGTTTTGTAATTCACTTATCTTTTGTTTGATAACTTGTTATGCAATCACCCCATTCTTTCCACTGAAGATTGTCCAAAACAAAACTCGAGTGAAGCATGTCGAGACGCAACAACATCGTATACAACGTGTGTTTGGTGTGAGAACATCAATACGTGCATCACCAACAGTGAAAAACATATTCATCAATCCAAAGTAAATGGTTGCCAGGATAAAGTAAGTAATTTACAGATTGTTTTCAATATTATCATATTTTACATAGTAAATCTATTTACTCGGAAATGCATTTTCTTGTTGCAAACAAGTAGTGTATTGTATACTTTGATGATGTTTAATCAGATTTGAGTACAATGCTATGCTTCCATGGGGACATTCAACAGCCAATAGAAGCGTTGTTTGAAACCTATGCTTGAAAAAATGTTGATTCTTCTGCTCATAGAATGTGTAGTGATTCTCGATGTCCAATATGAAACCGTCTGTATGTGTGAATTGTTACAAAATGACGATGAGATCAGTTTGAATGATGAAACATAATCTGTTATAAATTCTGCATCATGTTTGGAAAGTGAAAGTTCGTGGACTCACATTGTTGAATTTCAGAACAGATATTCCTGATACATTGTTGAGAAATTTGTGTTCTAGATAGATTGCTTCAATAAAGTCGTCAGTTATTAATTCGTTATTACTTATTTACATTGTAAGAAGATGAACCATCCGGTAAACAAATTTCATCACACAAATAAGTTGTCAGTTAGTTGTAGGATAATGTGTACTCATCACATTGACTGTTAAATGGGTAGCAGATATCTTAAATCATTAATCATTGATCACATAGTGCAAATGTAAATTATGTAATTAAATGTTGAATTCACTTGTTTCATCAATACTGACAATGGTGTATAATGAATGGTGAAATATTTGATATTTAATTATATTTCCACTGTTTCTTTCTTCTGAAGAATTCGATTGTCGAGGCTTCCATTGAACGAAAAACTGAAACTGATCTAAGAAATGAATCGAAGAAGACTGGTCAAAGCGCTGAATCACATTTGGTAAATATTTGATATTTTGTCATCTTTATACTATTTCGTTCATTTCAGAACATGACCACAGATACAACTGAAGACTTTGGAGAAAGAAAATCATCGCAATACGTGTACATCGTTGTACCATTGGTTATATCTTTCCTTATTGTATGCATTGGCATTGGCATTGGCATTTGGCTATGGTTCTACAGAAGGGAGAGAGTTTATCAGTGGTACTCACAAATTGCTTCTCGATTGTTTTCATCAAGTTGACCTTGCTATTTTCATTTTGTAGTTTAGTAAACACTTTTTCTATTTTGTTAATCATTTCAATACATTGAAGATTGTTTCATGGAACCGCATATCACATTGATGCCTGTTTACGTAATGACTGATGTCACTTTGTTGGTAGAATATAAAAATATAATTTTCTGTATTTATGTCATTGTTTTCATTCAATAAAAAAACATGCGTAATTTCACAAGAGGTTACAACATTGCACTTGTCAATTAACAGTATCGTGTATACGTGATTATGTGACCATTGAAATCAGAAATGAGTCCGTAGTAGATGTTCATCTTGTTAAGGTCTCAATACTGAGAAATATCATTCGAAATTGATGTCGTTCATTGTTTTAAACTAAACTGTGGGAATGAGGCATCAATATTTACCAAGGCACCTCAATCCTTCGTTATTTGACTATTCACTGTTGAGTGAAAGCTGGTTGACAGACTGTTGTTAATTAGGTGTTATGAATGTGTTGAATATGCAATAATTTTAGAGAGTCCAGCTGATACTTAAGTGGGAATGAAAAAAGATGTTGAGTGAATGATGAACTAGTAACAGTTCTGCCGTTGCATTGGTAATAAATTGAGAGATTTGAAAAAATGAAAACACTGAAGTGTTTGCATCAATCATTGATCAAATTATTAAACAGAACTGGGCTAATAATCGGTTTTTAACGTCATTCAGATTTTCTCTAAATGGAGCTTTAGCGTCCTAAAGTAGACAAGGATGCCGTTCAGTCTTCGGCTCACGGTGAAAGAGACGGGTATATCCACACACGTCTTAGTTTTCGAGACCGTTGTGACATACCCCAACCCTACGTCCCCCGAGCTCGTTCACGTTCCCGCAAATCCTTCACCACTTGCCCAACCAGGGCGTATTCCAAGCCATGCTAAAAGGCGGCTCCGGAAGCGAATGGAGGTTGGTGTTGGTTCCACCGGTCCTTTGAGTCTAGCGCAAGCAGTTGTCGAGCCCCGCGCTCATAGAAGGGGGGAAACTTTCGAGCCGGCGAGTAAACGCGGCCGTACTCGTCGGCCCTTCACCCCAGGTTGGTCGTTTATTTTATGTGCACGACTATCACACGAACGCTAGGTACCTAGTAGTTACTGGTGCCTAAGTTTCTGTCGTATCTCTTGGTAACAGTAAGTCGAAAGCCACGATGCTTCAACTACGCACTGTGAATGGCTCAACCGTTCCTACCTAAGGTACACAACAACTCACGGTCAACCTGGGCAACCGACGACAGTATCTGTAGACGTTATTCATTGCCTATGTTTCCACAGCCATACTCGGTATTGACTTTGTTGAGTCGGCTTTCGGAGAATTTCAACGGAGCCTCCAGAGGCCCAAAAGGAGACGAAGAGTCCTAGTCAATCACAGCACGATGGAGCATTCCCGAATTCCAACGTGGCGTGTTACTATTGGTCAGTAGCGTAATATGTCATTAAAGAATTGGCAAAGATAAAATGTTGATTTCACAAACGCTAACATCTATAAATACCCATGATTTTCTGTACAAGAACGAACCCTGGAGTAAAGTATTCCTCTCATACTTTGCGTCTTTCTCTAGTGTTCAGGTGGCTGTGTAGTTCTAGCTTGCGGGTTACCAGAATAGCTTAGGAAACGAATATAGCGTTCAATCATAGAGACTTATCAGATTTCCTACAGCACTGCGAATCGCTAGTCCATTAACGTAAGCTGCAGCTAATTGATACTTCGTCGAATAGCAAATTCATGAGCCTCAAAGCTCAAACAAACGCGAACTGAATCTTAGGCGTCTTTTATTCGCGTGAAGTCATATTCCACGCTTTATTCGATGAATCCCCCAAATTAACTAAACCACTTGAGGAGATTCTACCGGTGACCAATCGTGTGGTACACCACACAGTCACCGGCGGACCCACAGTCATGGCAAGATCGCGCTGACTGGCACCGGACAAGTTAGCTTTCACTAAACATGAGTTTGACAATTTACTAGCTACTGGTATTATTCGTCCTTCTCACAGTCCCTGGGCCTCACCTCTTCATATGGCGCGCAAATAGGATGGGGTTAGCTAGAAACCATTCGGCAACTACCGAGCATTAAACGTAGTTACACGCTCTGATAACCATCCCTTCCCCACATACACGACATCGCTCAAGGGCACGACTATCTTTTCTAAGGTCGATCTGGTACGAGCATACCATCAGATCCCAGATGCTCTTGAAGATATTGAGAAAACTGCTATCACGACTCCTTTTGGTCTGTTTGAATTACTACGAATGCCATTTAGATTACGGTATGCTGCCCAAACGTTTCGAAGGTTTATCGATAGCATTGTTCACGTCTCTATTGATGATCTGCTAATCGCACCATCAACCGTAGATGAACATTATCAACATCTTACACTCTTATTCCAACGTCTTTCGAATAATGGAATAGTAGTCAACCCAGACAAGTGTGAATTGGGCAAGTCGTAAATAGTGTTTCTGCGTCACATCATTAAACAGAAGGGTATTTTGCCTTGCGAGGACAAAGTGCAAGCAATTGAGGAGTACAACGTGCCATCCACACTCAAGGAACTGAAGGCATTTATCGGGTTGGCTGACTTCTGTCGACGTTTTATCCCATACACGGCAAAACGTTTACGACCATCGACATATTTACTTCACGTTAATCAACGCAAATTAGAATTGAACGATGCCGCACGTACTGCATTTTCGGAGATCAAAACGGCTCTGGCTCAAGTCACTCCTCGCTCATCCTGACATATCAGCCACGCTTAGTATAAGGGTTGACGTATCGGATTTTCCTATAGTAGCCGTGGTGCAACAGAGCATCTCTGGTAGTTTGCAACCCCTCGAGTTTTTCTCTCGACGCCTTACTCCCACGAAGACGAGATATAGCGCTTTTGGTCGCGAGCTGCTAGCAGCCCACTGCGTCATCAAACATTTCCGACACCCAGTAGAAGGACGTCAACTCAACATATTTACCAACCACAAGCCATTAACGTATGCCCTGCATACCAAGTCTGACCGCTGCTCACCACGAGAGTGCAGACATTTGGACTATATCTCCCAGTTCACGACAGATCTTCGTCACATTAAAAGCAGTCAAACTATGTTGACGATGCTTTGTCACGAATGCAAACGAATGAAGTTACTCTGCCGGAGAGATTTGAAAGAAACACTGAAGTGTTCGAGTCAATGATTGATCACAATAATAAACAAAACTTGGCTAATAATCGGTTTTTAATGTCATTCAGATTTTCTCCAAATGGAGTGTCAGCGTTAATAATGGTGACAAATGACGGAGTATATATGAGACATCTTTTTCTAACAAAACATTGAAGAGCATTATAATATTGTCAGAGTGGGAATCCGTTGAGTTTGTAGTAATTTTACCATTGAGATTCAGGTGTATTATTCAAAACGACCATCCGTGATTCCAGGTTATTAAAAGTGGCCTAGCTCAGATTGATACATGGATTCAAGCATTGTCGTATTCACCATGGTAGTTTAATTTCACATCACCAGAGATACATCTACATCTCGATCAATAACCAGTTATGTTGTGCAGAGTAGTGTTTTGAGTCCTTTGCTTTTTATAGCTCACATCAACAATATATGCAAGTGATTTAATACAGGTAAGACTTACCTCGACGCTGATGGCTTAAAAGTCATCTATAAAACTGACATTTGCAATGTACGTAGTACTATGCAAACAATCCAACATGAACTCAACATGGTAGACGACTGGTGCAAACACTGGAGGTTAGAGCTCAACACAGAGAAATGCGGCTCGTTATATATAGGAAACACGTCTCTTAAAATAAAACTAACACTTAACAACAACACACTGTCCAGACTGGCATCAGTAACTGACCTAGGGGCGCATTACTCACACAGTTTTAATTCCTCTTAACACATCTCAGCCAAAGCATCTAAAATGCGGAAATTGCTTGGCTTCATTCTCCGTATTTTCAATCACAATGAATCTAAAATCCTTCTTCATAAAGTTTGTGTAAGACCTATCGTAGAATACTGCTCGTTCTTATTTTCAAACCTACGCCTATCTAGTATACTAAAGATGGAAGGAATACAACAAGACTTCACCCACAAAATACTCAAGACTGAATCGGTCAGTTCCTGATGCCAAATCTCAGCAATAGAAGGCTTAGGTCTAATTTGATTGTCTACTTCAAACGTATTCAACATGTAGGGTAGTTCTTGCCCGAGATTCACATGAAAACGAACTTCGAAACAAAGTGTCTACCGTCAACATATACAGGAACTGTGTATAACATTGCTGTAAGTGCTTTATTAATCAGTCACATATTCTTCGAAAGTAAAGTAATGCGTGCTTGTTTTGAGTATGACAACTAAACCATGTCGTAGTTAATACTCATTTATGGTGTGTCTATTGTAGGGTTAATGAATAAAATTCTGTAAACAGAATTCAAAATCACTGACCAAATTATGAACAAAGTTCTAATTCATATTGACGAGTAATGTCTAAATAGTGCTTACCTGTAAAATTATAGTATAGTTCGGTACCAATTTTACTTTGATAATAGACTTAATCACAAAACAGTAAAATTTGTCATGTGATTGCACAATCTGTAAGGTCTTACGTAGAAGTCACATCCATGTCTACAGTGACTCATCGTTTCGTGACATTTAACAGTTCTTCTGAAGAACACATTTGTGTTGTGGATAGAATAGTATATTCAGTGTGGACGGTAATAAAACATACATAACGAAACACATCTGCTAGGCTGATCCATACCATCTGATTAAATGAATGACACTATAAGTATCTATTCGAATCTACTGTCATAGTGAAGAAACTCATATATACAAAGCAATATTCTAGTGAAACTTCTAAATGGATCCAGTGCTACGAGATTTCGTAACGAAACGGATACCTATGAAGCAAACATCAAGTCATTTTTAATTTTCACATACATTTATCAATATATCACCCCATGATACTACGGTGAAAAAGAAAATAAGAATTTAGCAAACGTTTATTGATGCATCATTACTACTGGTGCAGGGAGAGCAATATTTGATGCAGAAAAACCTGTTTACAAGTTGGATATATAGTGAAGTTAAAAGCACTACTACAAAGAACTTCTTGTAGTAAACAGATCCTGTCACGTCGAAGAATACAATGAACTATACAGTTTATATTTCGTAATCGATCGAGCTAACCTGTAAAATTTCGACTACTTATGTGCGTCAGTAGCATCTCAATCTTTCACGTTTGAGGAAATTTCGGGGGCAAGGACACCGGTATGTCACAATCTATCCATGATCCTGATGAAGTCTGCTCTTTATTCTTTTTGCTTCCAGGCAAACAAATGATGGCGCGCTAGACCAAAATTATCCCCCAAATTCAACCATCCAAGAACTTTTTTTCCAAAATTTGGGAGATTAGCAAGTTACGAAGCTGCAATCAATACAGCGTGTGCACTACAATACAGAGAGAGCTAAATAAATGTTCTTCGCAATGATTTTGCGGTTTTTCTTCAGCAAAAGATCACTTAAATATGAAAACACGTGATATTCCGGCACCACAACAAGCGTACATCAAATTTACAGCAGTTGAAATACGGAATTACCGCTGTTGTCAGGCCGTTCAAGGTTGTTGAAATGAAACAGAGGGCGGCATGAAGAAGATCTGACTTTTTCAACGTGCCGCTCTATGTACACCATGCTATTAACGCGGCAGAATAAACATAAACTATATAGCGACTAAGTTATGTTATATCTATCAAGCAACTCCAGATTTGGTGGTTATTACCGTGAGTATTGGGATTAGTACTGTTATTTTTATTGTTAAGAAGTCATTGGATTGGTCTCATCAGATCAAGCTTGTCGTTTCGTCTAGGTTGGTGGTGGACTAAAATTGTCATTTATTGGTTCAGTTTTATAAGTCACGATTAACGCGTTTATTGATATGTGAATTCGGCACTTCTCAACGATGTACGTTTTGACACTCAGCTGATTTCATTGAAAAATATGAGATAATTGGAGTGATACATTTGGCCGTCGATTTCTGATTACTTTAAAGTCCTTTTAAGCCATATTTCTGTGTTGATCTCATTACCAAAACAACTATTTTATTGACCAAAGTTGGCTAAACACAAATAGACCATTATTGCTTATTGATGTAGCGTTTTACACATACGTCACATGCATATACTGTCAAGTACTAATTAGCATTTATGACTTTACCGGTCTGGTTTAAATACCCTATAAAAGTAGACGGTTGATAAAGTATAAAAAAGAACATTCACAATGAAGTCCAAAGCGTCCATTATTTATGTGATAAGTTTGGCTTCAGTTAACTGAATCAAAATTGTGATTAACTTGGAATAAACTGAACTCGTGTTTTTTAGTCGAAGCACAACCTCTGTTGCAAATGTTACTGTCTGGAGTGTTTAAATGATATCAAACAAATAAGGCACACATACTCACCGAATGAGGTAATCTTGGAGTAAATAATCGTTGTCCATACGCATTGATTACTGAGAGTTTCTAAAACTTTGGCCACGGAGGTTTTCCCTAGTTGTTTATTTGCGTTTCTAAACTTTGATGGAAGATACTTTGTTTCGAAGTTCGTATTCATGTGAATCTCGGGGAAGAACTATCCTACATGTTGAATGAGTAAGATTCTCTACTTCAAACTACCCAAAATCTTACTCATTCAACATGTAGGATAGTTCTTCCCCGAGATTCACATGAATACGAACTTCGAAACAAAGTATCTTCCATCAAAGTTTAGAAACGCAAATAAACAACTAGGGAAAACATCTTGCTCATACGGTATGCAATAATATGGAACAGTTCCCTCCCCGAAATTCGCATTGTAGGTGTATAACATACGTTTGCAAATCTGCTTGATCAAGCTGCACTTATCTAGCACGTACGAACACATTTGCACCCCACCCAGACATCATAGCCTCTCTCGATGTCTAGGCCAAAATCGACTTCAAGTTCAGTTTGTCTTATTTTTCCTACTTTGCAGTTGTATTGGTTACTTTTTTACCCTATTTCTTCACTTGAAGTAGACAGGTAACTCACTGCACCTATCGATACTGTACAAATAAACTCGATCGCTAAGGGACAATCACTAACACCCTAAAAAGTCAAGAGGACCGCACAATCGACTGCCTACTACCAGTGGTCTTGCATCTATGAGCCTATTACCCATCAGCTGGTTAGGACGACACAAAATTCCATCAGCACCAGGTTAGTGTGAGTTTCTCTGTTTATTTTTTTATTAGCTTTTTACGCTTCTGTACACTATATTGACTAGCTATTAATATCATTTCTCCACTCATTACCATATCTACAGCTCATATACTTCTATACTTTTCCGCCTGCTTTAATAAACAATTATCCTACATTATACCCTTTTCAATGCTTATACTCTGATTGGCTAACTATACTTTATGCTATAGTCAACAGAGGCACTGCATCGATGCCTTATCCACAGTCCATAACTTGTAACTGCCTGATAAGCTAGTAAAATGGTACTTATAGAAATATTGTTTTCCAACGGCATGTGAAACAGAGGATTGTGTGAAGTATGACGTATATCAAAAAATAAGCTTAAGTGAGCCTAACATCACAAAAAGAGGGAGGGTGGAGTTACTTACCATCAAGCATTGGTGGTTAAGGCGATGACTTGGATTGTTCTTCCTCAGACAAAACTCATTCTCATGAATGATAAGTTTGCACTTCTTGCATCGATGTCGCTTAAGTGGGCAGTTCCGAACGTGGTGTCATGTACCACATTGCCAGCAAGGAGTTGAAAGATTTGCTTTAGTCTGTCGTTCCGAGCTAGAGTGGGGTGGACCGAATGAGGCAGGAACGTATTTGTTTTTTTAGGGCGTCTGTTGCACCTCTAGCACTTCAGATCGGCTAGACTCATCATTTTGGACCATAGAAGTGTCTCGTTGCAGATTAATGAGACATTGATATTCATTAGCCATATCACTCAGGGTGAGTTTCGGCTCTTGATCCAACCGACTTAGTAGCCTTGTTCGTAAGTCACTGAACTTTTGGTGCTGCAGGTTGCAAATGAGGATCAGGGCTCTAATCTGATCTTCAGTCAAAGACTTTAACCGGAAGCGTTCGCATTCACGGTTGATGACGACCACATGCGTAAGAAAGTCATCATCTTCGTTCATAGTTAGCTTCAAGCATCGGTAACTAGTATTAAACAATGACGAGTTATCGACAAAATGTTGGCTTAATGTCTGGACTATGTTTGTAAATAATCGGTCACGTGCGTTCAAAGGCAGGATCACGTTGTAATACTTGTCCAGCTCAGTTGAACCTAATTTACGAAGTAGAAGCCGCACTTCCAAAGCATCACCTCGACTGGCGAAATCAAATTTAAATAGATCTTCATAACACCTGAACCACATCTCAAAAGTAACATTAGCATCAGGATCGTAATGAAATTCAGCTATCTTATTTGTGATGCCATCTTCCTATGATGCCGTGGTTGAACTAGACGTGCTTGGTTGTGAGAGAGGCGTAACCTTGCTCTCTGTCGACATTTGCATCAATTTCAGCTGCTGCTCAAGTAACAGTTTAAGTTTGGAAGGGTTCATAAACAAATTCATCGTGCACGACTTCATAATGCAAATATCCAGCCGATAGTTAGTGATTTAGACTTTCTCTACGATCATATTGTAAAATTTATGGAATCTGGTGAAACACGTAACATAATTTCTGTAGAAATAGCTGAACAAAGCATCTACTTTGAGCGTCTTTTAAAATCGTCATTCAGTGGATTGGTGAAAATTTGGAAACTATTGCTCAATATTCATTGGAGTTATTGCTATGTATCCGACTTGGCATGCAATCATCCATCTAATTAGATTTTATAAAGAATCGTGATTTGATTTAAAGTGTTCAAGAATACGTATATTTATTGAATCGGCTGTCAAATTCTTTTAGAATCATATTATCAATGCGTATGGAGAACGATTCGTTACTCCAAGATTACCTCATTAGGTGAGTATGTGTACCTTATTTGTTTGATATCATTTAAACAATCCAGACAGCGACACTTACAGCAGAGGTTGTGCTGCGACTGAAAACACGAGTTCAGTTTGTTCTCAATTAATCACAATTTTGATTCAGTTAACTGAAGCCAAACTCATCACCTAAATAATGGACGCTTTGGACTTCATTGTGAATGTTCTTTTTTATACTTTATCAACCGTCTACTTTTATAGGGTATTTAAACCAGACCGGTAAAGTCATAAATGCTAATTAGTACTTGACAGTATATGCATGTGACGTATGTGTAAAACGCTACATCAATAAGCAATAATGGTCTATTTGTGTTTAGCCAACTTTGGTCAATAAAATAGTTGTTTTGGTAATGAGATCAACACAGAAATATGGCTTAAAAGGACTTTAAAGTAATCAGAAATCGACGGCCAAATGTATCACTCCAATTATCTCATATTTTTCAATGAAATCAGCTGAGTGTCAAAACGTACATCGTTGAGAAGTGCCGAATTCACATATCAATAAACGCGTTAATCGTGACTTATAAAACTGAACCAATAAATGACAATTTTAGTCCACCTCCAAACTAGACTAAATGAGAAGTTTGATCTGATGACACCCATTCAGTGACTTCTTAATAATAATCATAACAGTACTAATGCTAATACTCACAATAATAATCACCTGATATGGAGTTGCTTGATAGATATAACATAACTTAGTCGCCATATAATTTATCTTTATCCTTCCGTGTTAATAGCATGGTGTACATAGAGCGGCACGTTGAAAAAGTCAGATCTTCTTCATGCCGTCCTCCGTTTCATTTCAACGACCTTGAATGGCCTGACAAGAGCGGTAATTCCGTATCTCAACTGCTGTAAGTTTGTTGGGCGCCAGTTGTGTTGCAGGAATAATACGTGTTTTCATATTTAAGTGGTCTTTTGCTGAAGCAAAACCGCAAAATCATTGAGAAGAACGTTGATTTAGCTCTCTCTGACTTGTAGTGCACACGTTGTATTGGTTGGTGCTTTGCAACTTGCCAATCTCCCTATTTTATGAAAATTTTTGTCTAGTTTGGGTGAACTTTGGGGATAATTTTGGTTTAGGGCGCCCTCATCTGTTCGCCTGGAAGCAAAGAGAATTGTGGGCAGACTTAATGAGGATCATGGATGGATTGTGACATACCGGTGTCCTTGCCCCCGAAATTTCCTCAAACGTGAAAGATTGAGATGCTACTGACGCACATAAGTAGTCGAAATTTTACAGGTTAGCTCGATCGATTACGAAATATAAACTGTATAGTTCATTGTATTCTTCGACGTGATAGGAACTGTTTACTAAAAGAAGTACTTTGTAGTAGTGTTTCTAACTTGACTATATATACAAATTGTAAACGGACTTTTGTGCATCAAATGTTGCTCTTCCTTCACCAGTAGTAATGATGCATCAATAAACGTTTGCTAAATTCTTATTTTCTTTTTCACCGTAGTATCATGGGGTGATATATTGATAAATGTATGTGAAAATTAAAAATGACTTGATGTTTGCTTCATAGGTATCCGTTTCGTTACGAAATCTCGTAGCACTGGATCCATTTAGAAGTTTCACTAGAATATTGCTTTGTATATATGAGTTTCTTCACTATGACAGTAGATTCGAATAGATACTTATAGTGTCATTCATTTAATCAGATGGTATGGATCAGCCTAGCAGATGTGTTTCGTTATGTATGTTTTATTACCGTCCACACTAAATATACTATTCTATCCCAGCACAAATGTATTCCTCAGAAGAACGAAGTATCATTGTTAATTGTCACGAAACGATGAGTCAGTGTAGACACGGATGTGACTTTCTCGTAAGACCTTACAGATTGGGCAATCACATGACAAATTTTTTTTCGTTTTGTGATTAAGTCTATCGTCAAAGTAGTATTGGTACCGAACTAGACTATAATTTTACTGGTAAGCACTATTTAGACATTACTCGTCAATATACATTAGAACTTTGTTCATAATTTGGTCAGTGATTTCAAAATCTGTTTACAGAAATTCATTCGTTAACCCCATAACAGACACAACATAAATTAGTATTAATAACGACATGGTTTAGTTGCCATACTCAAAACAAGCACGCATCGCTTTACTTTCGAAGAATATGTGACTGATTATTATGTTACTTACAGCAATGTTATACAAAGTTTCTGTGTATGTTGATGGTAGATACTTTGTTTCGAAGTTCGTATTCATGTGAATCTCGGGGAAGAACTATCCTACATGTTGAATGAGTAAGATTTTGGGTAGTTTGAAGTAGAGAATCAAATTAGACCTAAGCCTTCTTTTCCAAAGGGGTCTATTGCTAAGATTTGGCATCGGGAACTGTAGTCAATGACTGATTCAGTCTTGAGTATTTCGCGGGTGAAATTTCGTTGTATTCCTTCCATCTTTAGTATACTAGATAGGCGTAGGTTTGAAAATAAGAACGAGCAGTATTCTACGATAGGTCTTACACAAACTTTATGAAGAAGGATTTAGATTCATTGTGATTGAAAATACGGAGAATGAAGTCAAGCAATTTCCGCATTTTAGATGCTTTGGCTTAGATGTGTTTAGAGGAATTAAAACTGTGTGAGTAATGCGCCCCTAGGTCAGTTACTGATGCCAGTCTGGACAGTGTGTTGTTGTTAAGTGTTAGTTTTATTTTAAGAAACGTGTTTCCTATATATAACGAGCCGCATTTCTCTGTGTTGAGCTCTAACCTCCAGTGTTTGCACCAGTCGTCTACCATGTTGAGTTCATGTTGGATTGTTTGCATAGTACTACGTACATTGCAAATGTCAGTTTTATAGATGACTTTTAAGCCATCAGCGTCGAGGTAAGTCTTACCTGTATTAAATCACTTGCATATATTGTTGATGTGAGCTATAAAAAGCAAAGGACTCAAAACACTACTCAGCACAACTTAACTGGTTATTGATCGAAATGTAGATGTTGTAGAATTAATCTTGGTTATTTGGTATCTGTTCGTCCAAAAAGACTTGATTCACTGCAAAAGAAAATTTATAATTCCAACTGACTTGAGTCAGTTGATTAGAAGATTATGAGTTTCTGTATCAAAGGGTTTCTTAATATCGAATTATAGTATGACCACCAGTTTCTTCTGGTCACGTATGCGAGTAACCTCGTTCAAGAAGTCTTTCAGACACGACCTTGTTCTAATGAAGCCGTGTTGTGACGGGTCTATTAGGTCTTTCTCAAGTAGGTGATCAGATAACTGATTTTGTATCACTTTTTCCATTATTATGACTGTGAATGTAAACAGTAATTGAAATTGTATGCGAACATAGATGGTTTTTGTTGTCTGTGAAATTAATGATAATTAATTATTTGGACGGGTGCAGTGAAAATGACACAATCGAACTTATAAATAGGTTACGTAATATCAAAATTAGAAATTAACGAGTTAAAAAAGTTGAAGTTCCGTAAGTTTTGTGAAGGAAGAAACAGAAAGGAATAGAAACAAATAATAGTATTTAAATACAAGATTAGGATAAATTCAGGGACTATATGAACACGTTCAGAGTACAAACATTGAATTTACTGATGTACATTCGTATGGAATCTATTGTATATAAGAGAAATATCCTGAAGTCGTAGGGTAGATTCGGTTAGCTTTCGTCAATAATTTCAAACATTGGAGTTTCCTTTCATGTGGTTACCAGTATTGACTCGATGTGTTGAGATAGTACTCCTTATCACCTTGTTTTTTCATTTGCTCAACCTGGAGGGTAATGTTTGAAAACATGATAGCGAGTTTGCTAGTCATGGGTCAAATACAAGTTGTTGAGTGGGTCAGCTCCAATAGCCTGTTTGTTACATAGTATATTTGCTGGATAAGGTATTGTTGAGCAATCATATGTTTGCTTGGGTGCATAAACTCTGGTAGTTGGGAGGTATCTTACATTGTCTGATGACTCCTGCCTATATACTGTGCTGTGCAATACTTTTGGTGCATTTCATAAGCGCACATTCCACACACCTTTTAGTCACAAATCATCAAAATGTCTTCTTAACTTTCCACCTCACATTTGCTCTACCTGATTGTCCGTAATCACCGTAGTGTGATAAGCCAACAACAACACTAACCATAGCAGTTGGCACATTTGAAGCAATTAGGAAGTGATTGTTCTTCCTCGCCACATCAAAAAGGCTATTTCAGCAACCTGATGTTGATGAAGACGATGACGATGATTGTTCTTGGCTGGATTTTTCATTGTTTTGTTCTTCCTAAATTTCTTTTTACTTGTCTATATGCATGTGTGTGTGTCTGTATCTGTACAGGCCGTGGTGTACATACTGTTTTTATTGATGTTGTCTTCTTTTCCGTGACGATGGTATTGTTTTACTCATCGTCAGCTACTTTGTCGCATCAACCATCCCATCACAACTGTCATGATATACTAATCATCATCCCTACACAAAGATGTATGTGGTGGTTATCCAGATGACGATTCACAAATAGTGAGAGAAGTGCATCATGGAATCCATTACTAGTCACCAGCCATCTTTCCTTATAAAGATTGAGTAATATTGCGTGAAAACTAGATGAGGACAGACGAACGTATTATATTCGGAATTCGAAATTAGGCAGTCTTGAAGTACAAAGGTATCATTGATTTATACAAATGTCATGGACCTGTAAATCGTATGCATTGAAGAGTAAGATTTGAAAAATTGAGAATTCTGTCTGATTCATTGCACTGAATATAAAATAACATCAAGTTTCATCATTTCTGTAATATCCGATAAAATATTCAAAGCAATATTGATTACTTCTTCAATCTCAGTGTAAACAACGTGTT